GTGCGAGAGCGAGTGCGAGTGCGAGTGCATGTGTGTGTGTGTGTGTGTGAAAACCCACCATCAGGCACTAGAGGGATCTTGTTCAGGTAGAAGCGTAGGTTACGGTACTCGTTGGGTTGCCGGGAAACTTTGTAGTTCTGCACACAAAGATCCATGAAATCACAACGGGTGTCTACATTGCATGTGCATGTGTGTGCGTGCGTGCGTGCGTGCGTGCACGTGTGTGTACCGGGTAGCTGTGACGGTATTTGTAGAGGTCCCTGGCAGCGTAGAAACTCCTCTTCATCTTTGGAAGAGGCCCTGGGGAGTCAGTCAGCTGAGAGAAGACGCGAGGAAAACAGAACAACATTAAAAATTAAAATAAGAGAGGAAAGAGAAAAAGGACAGACAGAAGAAAGTAGAGATATGCAATGGAATACAACTCGTGTTTGAACGGATGCAGTGTAGCGCTCATCTGCTATTCAGCTGAATTAAAAGCACTGACTCTGCTTTTGAGGTCAAAGACTGTCATCATCTATTTCTCTCTGGCGGAGGAGGACGAGTCACATCACTGCTGTGCAATTACTACAAAAGGATGCTAGAGTTGATTGTGAAATAAAATCTGGGTCATGCTAACTTCTGCCGGTAAAAAGGCTCAGTGTGTTACACTAGACCTTATCCTGACAAATCTAACTATAATTTATTTTAATTCACACATTACCTCAAGCCATAAAGTGAATTCAGTAATTTTACAGCCATGTTTGAGGCTTTTCTTTTGTGATGTATACCTGACACTGAGCTTATACAAACTGCATGATAAAATCCCTTGTGTGTGTTTGATTTTACCTTTGTGAAATGATTTACTAAAAAGTGATCCACTGAAATATAGTTTTTCAAACATCCCTGCTGGTTTTTAATATTCTGACACAGCGTGGAGTTCTCTAACAACAACCATCAACTCTTCTCATCATTCAGCCCACAGGGATCATAATTTAGATTATTCATTAACATGATATTTGATTTCCTCCATAAACCAGCAGGCAGACACAGTGGCAGACACAGTGCCATCTTCTACCATTGTAGTATTAAAGTCATTTTAATAATTACCTAACATTACGTACACAGTATGTCGCCTATGATGCCATGTTTGCAGCTCAGCTATTTTTTGTCCACATGTTAACAGTTTTGTTTTACTTTAGTAAAATACCCTGAACAAAGCAGCAATTTACAAGTTCATCTCAAATATTTTAAATATTCTCCAGTTTTTTCCCTGTGAGCTGCTTCTTGTATTGTGCATTTGTAAAGATTAGTAGCAGAATGATTATTTCAGTAATTTTATCTTAACCACTCCTAGAAGATGACATCATGTGCGCATGTTTTAGCCAAATACATAAAATTGGCGTATTTCTGAATGAACTTTGGTGAGAGCTCACTGTCCACTACCAGGACAGGGTATCGGTTGTCCTCTCTGTGTCCTGGCCTGGTCAGTGTTGTGACTGACGGTGCCACATGTGACCGGGCCCCTCTCCTCTTTCTCTCTCTGCCCGGTGTGTCTGCACATGCATCTCACGGAAGCTCCGCTCTACCTGCGGGGACTTGTCTCCGGGCTCTGCGGCGGCCCGGTCGCTCTCCGCCGGGCAGACGGAGTCGTATATGCCGCTGTCATCCTCCGCCGCCGGCTCGTCGCTGTCGGAGTCCGACCCCCACGTCGAGTCGCATTCCTCCACGGTGCTCGGCTCCTTGAAACGCCAGGTGCCCAACAGATTTCCCATTGAAACAACATGCACCAGCGGCTCTTCACTGTGATCCTCCTCTGAACACTACATCCTCCCTGCCACAGCCTGGAGCTTGTGCAGAGTGTGGACTCTCGCCGCCCTCACAGCCTTTCAATGGCAGCAGAGGGGATTTCCACTCCAGCAGCGATGATGCGTCGGGTATGAGGGGGGATTAGTGCCACGGGAAGAAACGGGAGGAGGATTAAAGCTACAAATGTGCAGGTCGACCTGCATGATCGTTACCTCTTACACGCGTTATCAGACAAACCATTCATCCGTCAGATTGTGTAGAAAACGAATTATTATTATATAACTTGGTTTTTTTTTGTTACAGCTATAAATGTGAGTAATTATTAACATTAGACAATTATCACCCTATGTGGCTATGTAGTGCAGTAATGAACTGTTACAACCCATAATGTATATTTTTCACTCTCATGTGCAATAATTACTGTGAATTTTCAGGTATCTTTGTATATTGTTTACATTTTTCTTTATATATATATATATATATATATATATATATATATATATATATAAGTATTTTTTTATTCTTATTTTTATTTTATTTCTATATTTTTATTTGTCTCTATMCTRATGCCCTTCTGCTGCTGTAATGTTGAAATGCAATTTGCTCATTTCTGGGTGAACATAATATGCAAGAGTAGTCTCACATGTCACTGTTTGTAGCACACAACGTTTGCTGGACAGGCTGAAAAAAAAAAGAATTAAGAGTATACCCATTTCTCCAGGCACCACTAAACTGCTGCTTATGTCTGTGAATTGGTGGTTCTGTCCCTTTTACTTACATTCTCTTCAGTTTTCCCATTAAGTTACTTAATACTCTCAATCAGAATTTTCTGATCATGTGCACACCTTTTTGCCAAGGTTCATATTAACATGACCCGTAGGTAACCTGATCCACATGGATTTGTGACATTATTTTTTACTAGCAATCTTGAAAACAAAAGAAAGGAGCCAGCAGTGTTTGCTCACAGCCAGAAGGTTCTGGGTTTCAATGGATGGGTCTTTCTGTGTGGAGTTTGAAGGTTCCTGTTGGGCATGCGTGGGTTTTCTCTGGGTCTTCCTGCTTCCACCCACTTTTCAAAAACATGCAGGTCAATTGCAGTGTGGATGTGAATGATTGTTTGTCATATGTCAGCCCTGTGATAGACTGGAAACCTTTTCAGGGTGTACCCCAGGGAATCAAGATTTGGTAACTGTACATGATTTGCATAGTAGCAGAAAAAATAAACCTCACAGGAGCCAAACGTTCCTATTATATTCAGTTTAAAGTCCTTAACAGAATTAAAAATGCTGAATATAAACACCACTATCAGAATAAGTAGGTCCATCCAATTTCAATTGGTGACTGAGGCAAATTAAAACCTGAAAGTAGAAAATAAAAGTTGAACCTTGTAAACAATGTATTCTGTTTAGCTAACCTCTGATTCTAAGCTGCAGTGCATTTACACTCCAGACTGCTTTAAATCACATCCCACATAAACAGTTAACCTGAAATCTCCAATCTGAACTGCATGTAACCACAGCTACATGTCCATTAAAAAGACTGTGTTATTTATTTATTGATTTAATTGTTTAGCAGATGCTTTTATCCAAAGCGACTTACAAGGGAGACATAACATTCAAGCTACATAGCAACAAAGATCTTAGTGTAACAATAAATACTATCCTACGTTCAAGGGCAGAGATTAAGTAATAATTTGTCACATGTGTTCACATTACCTCAACTGTATTTTATGTCAACATTGGAAAAATCTACATGTGCAACCTACCTTTTTTCATGACACAAAACCATGTCTGAACCAACCCACAATTTGATTTAGGTAGGGTTTTTTGTGTTTTGTTTTTTTGAAAGATACCCCACATCTTACTCCAGCTCCACCCACGACCCTCAAAGGATAAGCAGTAAGGATACTGGATGGATGGATGTGTTACATATCTTCTCTGTTCCTCACTGCTGGGTGGCACTAATCACCCCTCATACAGAGAGCCAGTAACAGCAGCATCAGGACCAGAGCTGCATCACGTGACACAGGGAACAGGGATGGGAGTAGGTTACTGTAAGACACATTTCACCATGACAGCTCTGACCTACAGATGCTTCCATGAACCAATTTGAATAAGAAGTGTTTCCCACCACACAGCTTCCCCTCAGCTGTTGGGTGACTTCGTGTTTTATCTTGTCAGAAAACATCCTGCAAACAACCACTGTATCTGCCCCGTGGTTATTATTTATTATCCTGGGACTTTCCGTGAAAATGTTGTGGAAATATGTTGTAAATAAAATGTTCTTATTTACTCAAGTTTTTACTCTCTGAAAAAACCCACCAAGCTAAAACCAGTAAAACGGTGCTAAACTATTTTTATTTTCCAGTCACTGTCTGTCTAAAATAAACTGTTTAAACAAATTAATCAACTGCCATTTTTAGATCCATTATTTGATTCCAATACTGAGGTAATGCATAGATATTTTCTACTTGAAAATATTTTTTACAGAAGTATTCATCAGTGAATAAGTGAGTAAACCAAAACACAGG